GAATTATCTAGTTGCATGGAATTTTCAGAAAATATCCTTTTTTATTCAGAAATATGAGAATTATCTAGTTGCATGGAATTTTCAGAAAATATCCTGCTTTTGCTTTATTATAAAGTGGGGGCAGAAAAGCTGGGGTGGGCACACACTCCATAAACCATTGGATTGTAGGAGCTTAAATGCTTGATTTAACCATTAGGTTACCCCACACCGAATGCCCACCCCACCTCTATAAATTCCAACTTCAAAGATCACCCAACGCAACACAGTTTTCTTCCTCCATAGAACAACTCTATTTCTGTTCTCTTTCTTCTTTTTCCAGGGTTCCACAATCATCCCGAAGATCCCCAATGGGTTATTTCACTCAAAAAATGGAAGTCACCACAGAGTTCCCCCCAGCTCTGATGTTCAATGCCTTTGTCTCTGAGGATAAATTTCACATCCACAATTTTGATGTTTCAGAGATTATATTGTCCATTCAGAATGTCGAATTCATTGAAGGAGATGGAGGCGCTGGAAGCATTAAGAAGATCACCTTCAAAGAAGGTTTCGTACCCATAATCATTTCTATCTCATCACATATCACAAGAAATTAACTAAATTGTTTCCTTACAGGAAGCGAAGTCAAGTATGTGAAGCAGAAGATTGAAGCAATCGACGAGGAGAACTTCTCAGTCAACTATATTATCATAGAAGGTGAAGCTCTGATGAACAATTTGGAGAAAATATCTTATGATATTAAGTTTATAGCAGCTTCAGATGGAGGATCCATCTGCAATATAAGCAGCAGCAAGCATTACACCTTTGGTGACATTTATATCAAGGAAGAAGATATCAAAGCAGAGAAGAAAAGGGCCCTGGGATTGATCAAGGCATTAGAAGCCTACCTAATGGCAAATCGTAAAGCTCCTAAGATCAAACTTGATTAAGTCTTTATTTGGCTTGTCTGGAGTGGTTTGTCCTTCTGTTCAAATAAAAGAATGGTTTGTTCTTTCTAATGTTTTCTTTGTATTAAGCAGATCTTATTCTGCCCCTATCTTTGCTCTGTTCTTTGGACTTTGAGGTTCTGCTCTGTATTAAAAACCTTCATCTTCAATTTGAATTCATCACTTGCTGGTGCCCTCATTGACATTTTGTTCCTCACAACCATTTCACTGCAAAGAAATTAACGAAAAGGAGAAAATCAGTATATCAAATTAAAGCAAAACTCAACACGAAGCAATCTAATTTTTATTTC